ATTTTTGTGACTGCATACTGTTTACCAACTGCTGAATTCTTGGTTCAGTGCTACTCAAAGCAAATGCATGTCGGCACTGGCATCCAACTGATTTCGATGTTTATTTTTAATTATCAAAAGCACTGAGAATCCTTGCTCGCATAAATATGTGGTTGAAAATAAAGTTAGGTACTGTAAAACAATTTCTCGAATTTTAGGGAAGGGAATTTTAGGGCAATAGCTTTCTGGCTCCAAAAATCTTTAAGATTAATTCCTGTCTCGAATGTATCCTTGCAGTTACTATCATGTTGCATTTCAATTAACTCTTCTTGTATTTCATCCTGCACCTCAGAAATGTTGATTATGAAAGGATTGCAAATCAGGTTCTGAATGCCTTTGTCCTTGCAGTCAGGAAAATAGCGGTTGAATTCATTTTTCAAGCTTTGCAAATGGAATGGAATGTTTTTTTTGTATTTGTCCTTTAATCTCAGCACACTGTCAATCAATAATTGGGTTCAATGTATCAAACGCAGAAAAATTCTCTCTTTCGACTTTGCTGATCCATAAGTCAATTTTAGCGATAAACGCACTGATTTTATCTTCAAATGCAAATTTATTGCTAGTGACTTCCAATTTCATATTTTCTGACCGCACATCATACCCCAGCCCAGTCCACTATCTGCTCTAACCTTGACATACTGCGCATTGTCATCAACTCGTCTTTTATTTAATAATTTTGGGATAACTTCACCGACCACTTCAGGTGCTTTCAGGGACCACCAGTGGTCCACGGACCACAGGTTAAGAACAACGGGGCTAGAAGTAGGCAATTATGCTTCCATCTTGTGTTAAATTTAATAATTATAAATAGTTAATTTTTAATTCAGACATTTCTAAAATTTAATTTGAAATTGGTCATTAAATTTAATACGAGATGGCATCATAACTGCTACCTCTAGGTCAAATTAATTACAGATATGTCATACTAACCTTGTATTGCTTTGCAGTTACAACTTAAAAATGACACAACACAAACATTTTTGACCCACTTCTAGGGTCTTCCTCAGATGTTTTATAAGTTTTTCTGGTGCGATTCCAATTTTTAACCGTTCAGGTCTCCAGTGCTTCTATCTTCAGAATTTAAGTAGTAACTGCAAAGCTATACAAGGTTAGTATGATGTATCTGTAATTATTACTTTGTTTGTTGGATGGATTTAATCAAATTAATTAATTTCTATTATTTAATTATAGCCTTTACATAGCCCAAGAATTTGGCATATTGTTTGGTGTGTTTATTATGTAACGGGTTATGGTTGTTGATGTTTAAAAGTAATATGTGTGAACACAAGTTTGGAAAAATGTGTGATCACAAGCTACATTAAGATGCTAGCGGAACGACTGCTAAACACAGACTGATGGAGCATGTGCACAATTTAGGACTTTCCCTCTACTCATCACTCATTATGTGAAACATTGCTCGTTAAGTGAGGCAATTTTTTACAATTTGTTTTGCTTGTTATGTGAAACGCTCATAATGCGAGGTGCTTGTTAAGTGAGGTTCCACTGTAGTGTGATCTAAATCACATGATCCAATGCAACATGTTGGAACAGGAGTTATAAAACAATGAATTATAGTGAATCTTCAAGTTTTAGTTATTTTAACAAGCCCATTTAATGTCAGAGTCACTTCTCNTGCAAAGCTATACAAGGTTAGTATGATGTATCTGTAATTATTACTTTGTTTGTTGGATGGATTTAATCAAATTAATTAATTTCTATTATTTAATTATAGCCTTTACATAGCCCAAGAATTTGGCATATTGTTTGGTCTGTTTATTATGTAACGGGTTATGGTGGTTGATGTTTAAAAGTAATATGTGTGAACACAAGTTTGGAAAAATGTGTGATCACAAGCTACATTAAGATGCTAGTGGAACGACTGCTAAACACAGACTGATGGAGCATGTGCACAATTCAGGACTTTCACTCTACTCATCACTCGTTATGTGAAACATTGCTCGTTAAGTGAGGCAATTTTTTACAATTTGTTTTGCTTGTTATGTGAAACACTCATAATGCAAGGTGCTTGTTAAGTGAGGTTCCACTGTAGAGTGATCTAAATCACATGATCCAATGCGACATGTTGGAACAGGAGTTATAAAACAATGAATTATAGTGAATCTTCAAGTTTTAGTTATTTTAACAAGCCCATTTAATGTCAGAGTCACTTCTCTTTTTTTCTTTAGCTTTATCTACATGATGTTGCTCTTTCTTATCAGATGTCTTCACTCCTTTCGTTTGTTAATTTTCTCTTCAGTTACTTCCTTTTTTCATATCAGTCTTTATATAACCTTTCCATCTTTTCCTTCACCTATTCTTGCTCCTCCTCCCCTCAACTTCTGCCTTCATCATCATCCTGCCCACTTAGTTGTTAACACTACATAATATACCTATATCATTGACGTCTCAGAAAACCATAATTAAAAAACATTTGTATAAATTCCATGATTATTAGTTGATAATGATTCTGTTAACATTAATAAGAAACTATCTGATTAAATTTTATTTAGTAAATATGTAATGCACTCAAAAATTTCAGAATTTGTTTGGCTTGTTTTTACCTTTCTTCTTATTATAGAGTATAACATAAAAAAAGTATGGTGATTGGTCAAACTTCGATTCTCCCTGTTTTTCATTTCTTGATATTTTCAGTCTAGGAACGCAAAAATGTAAAAAAAAAACCTCTTACAAGATTGTGTGTTGGCATCTATTTTGCATTATTTCTCAGGACTGGATGATCCAAAAATTCTGAAATTTGGTGTGATTCTTTCTATATCTGCAGCATTAATGCTATTAAATTTTGTTAATTAAAAGTCAAGAGGATGGGGAGATACAGGATGGTTGTGTGTTATACCTTGAGAAGATAAGACTTGATGAAAATTTTATTGTTATTGGCATTTAAAATTTTTTAAAAACTCATTTCTACCCTCAAAATGTAGTTTTTTGCTTTCTTATAATAAATAAAAATATAAAAACTATTTTTTTAATAAAATAACCATAACAGATGCAACAACACAATATTAACTTCGAGCTAGTGTCTTAGTGCTTTTTAAGCTTAAACTTCTCAATTTAAAAAAATAATATATTTATTACAATTCAACAGAGTTACTTTTATAAGCTCTTGTTATTTAAATTTTATATCATGGTATAATTTAAAATTATTGGACTTTCTTTTTGGTATCTTTAACCTTATTGTTGAGTGCCAGGAAGGTCAAGAAAGGAGCCCTTGCCTTTTTTTTCTTTTCCTTCCGAATTATTTAAATCATATTTATAGATAAATAATTAAACTTTTACAGATATATAATAAATGTACATTTTGTGCTAAACTATTCTAGTTGTTGTATGTAAATTAAAGGTTTATTGTAGTCCAAAAAAAATTTTTTATTTATAAGAATGTTATTTGATTTTATTATTTATTCCATAAATTCTTTACAGCTTGTCACAGCTTCGATTACCTTCTATACATCGATATTTCAGTAGTGAAGCAGTCAATCAAACTGCAGTAGATATTAATAAAGTTCCTTTGACAGATCCTTTGCCAAAGTTTCCAATACCTATTTATGCAAAATCAACAGATTATAATTATGAAACTAAGGTATCAACTTTAAGTAATGGTTTGAGAATTGCTTCTCAGAATAAATTTGGACAGTTTTGCACGGTTGGAGGTAAGAGAATTATATTATTTATTTGACAATAAAGAGTTTATTTCATCTTAAAAATAGTTAAATCAAATATAATAAATAAAAAGACAAGTCAATTCCAAAAATTTTTTTTAAAACTTTTGTCGATCACCTTTTATTTTTGTTAAAATTCCAGGATAAACTTCAGCAACCGGACCTTCCTTTTTAGGCTACACGGTCGCCTTAACAGTCCTTTGTAATACAGAAATAATCCAATAAAACCTTGTAAAAAAGTTGTAAAAAATTGGAGTTGGTGATCTTGGACGTCTTTAGGTTTTCATCCTTCTTCCATTCGGGAATCTCGGACTTATATTTACTCAAGGAATGCACTGTTAAATGTAAATTGTCCTTATTCTCCTCCTGGCGGCGAATTATTACAAAAAACTTTCTATTTTAAAATTTCGCTGGATGTAAAAATTTTTCAATAAATAAAAAGACAAGTCAATTCCAAAAATTTTTTAAAAACTTTTGTCGATCACCTTTTATTTCCGTTAAAATTCCAGGATAAACTTCAGCGACCGACCTTCCTTTTTAGGCTACACGGTCGCCTTAACAGTCCTTTAAAATACAGAAATAATCCAATAAAACCTTGTAAAAAAGTTGTAAAAAATCATCAAAAGATCACCAACTCCAATTTTTTACAACTTTTTTACAAGGTTTTATTGGATTATTTCTGTATTATAAAGGACTGTT